GTAAAAGAGACATTTTCCTATGGAACAAGACAATTTATACTTAAAATAAGAATTGCATTGCTTATTTCAAGCGCATATAATCTAATTATCTTATTTTAAGAGTATTTTACTACTCCAAGATTTTATACATTCTGACCATTTATTTTTATAAAATTTGGAAAGACAGGATTACTAAATCTTATAATAGATTTTTTTTGTATGAAAATGTTTTTTTTTTTTTTTTTCAAAGTTTTGTGCCACTAATGACCTTTACTAGACAGTAGAGAGATTAGAAACCGGTTAGAGAAAGCTGAAAGATTTTGAAACATTCCTGAATTGGGATTTCAACTCAGAACAGCTGTTTTTAGAGTTTGAGGCTTCAGGTACATATGGGTTAAAGGCTCCATCCCTGTAACACCACCATGCTTTTTGTAGCTTTAATGCATTCTTTGATCTTGATTCTTGCCAAAAATTTCATCCACAAATAGAAACTATGACTAAAAACAGTTATGAAAAATATGTGAGGGAATAAACCATCCGTTCCATCTTCATAATAAAAAGAAAATATCAAATGCAATACCTTGTTCAGTTTATAATTGTTTTGTTATTTATGCATCATTATTCATAGTATCCCCCATTTTAGTGTGTTTATTTCAATAGTCTAATAGGTTTCTTTGATGGAATTGTGGCCTTGCTTTTTCTAATAATATATTTTATGTGTCTGTTCCTTTAAATTAAATGAATTTATCAGAGAATGTTCAGGGAAAACGTTGCTTTTATTGTAGCTGAAACTGATTTTTAAATGTCGCCTTTTGTCATAAAATCTGTCATCACTTACTTTTTCTTATTGCTATAATGGAATCACTTTCAGTTTTATATAATAAGCAAGAGGAATTATTGTTTTACAGCAGCCATGCATGCCCATTACTATAAGCTGTAAAGTTTCATTACAAATTTGCCAACACTTAGAAGAAAATGACCTAAAGTTTTATAACAAGTGTTTCCAAAATAAAGTACGGCATTAAAAATACCCAGAAGAGTTGTTTAATGAGCAGTTTTTAATTTGTATTATAATTCAGACTAAATATTCTGAGCATGTCTTCCAATCAAGTTTGTAATGAACTCAGACAGGTTCAGGTCCATAGAACAAACATTTTTAAAAGGTCAACATGAGCTTCAACAGGATTTATCAGTATACATTTTACTGTAAATTTCACTGTTGCATAGCTTTTAAATATTATCATAAAATGGGGAGTGATGGAATAGTGGTTAGAGCAGTGCGCTTGTGCTATGAGAAGGTTGCAAGGACCCAGTTTGATCCCCACAGCTTTAACTCTGAGTCCCTGAGCAAAATCCTTAACCCCACACTGCTCCCTGGGCGCCACAGAATGGCAGCACACTGCTTCCCAACGGGATGGGTTAAATACAGAGGCGAATTTCTCCAGTGTGAGACTAATAAAGTTCAAAGTTATCATTATTACTATTATAAAAAATTAAAAATTTCCATAACCAGGGATATTTGATCGTTCATACTAAATAATTCCACATGAAATGTGAATTATGCAAAGAAACAAAAGCAGTTCTACCAGTCATTAGTGCCAGATGTTTCGAGCCATTGGTGAGAGTCCTCTCGCCAATCTAGTGTGTTCTGATTGCCTGATCCTGACCCAATCTGCCTTTGGACCTCTGAGCCTGTACCTCTTTGGATCTCGTGGCACGTCCTCGACACTGGCTTTGGCTTCATCCTATGGATTATCCTGTCTTCCTTTGTCTGCTCGGATCTGATCTCCTGCTTGTTCTGGCCTCCAGGACTTCAACATCTGGGACCCTCTGGGTAGTGTCCACCACGTCTTGTCAGCAGACGACCATCCGGAACCAACCTCATCCTCTGGGCATAAACTGAACTCTAAGACCAGGTTAGTGACTCACACGTTCATAATCATCCTCCGCCAGATCAACGTGGTCACTAACCCATGTTTCCATCCTGCAGAGCTTCCTGCCTTCGATGCCCTCGCTGTTCACTGCAGGTCTGTTTTTCCTAATCCAAAACTGGGTCCCATTCTTCTGAGCCTTGACAGAAAGTTAAAGAAAGAAGGGAAGGAGACACATGTTTCTTCATAGATGGATCATGCCAAGCCTAATCAGGAGGAGCCTAAAGAGAAACAGCTTCTAAGAAGCAAATTCAAGAATGTGTTGCTCCATCAGTTCCTGTGTTCCTTGGTTCCTCTTAGTTCTCATCCTTTCATGACCTGTGCTGAAAGTCAGCTTTGAACCCTGAGGAGCCTGTCATTCATTCTTTTGTATCAATAAACTCTTCTGTGTCTGCAATGTTTCTTGAATGATGGTCTCAAGCATAACCAATATGATGAAATTAAGTCCTAACTAATGACCTTCAGTCTTAAAAAAAAAACACAAAAGAATGTTCCATGAAGGAAACCGAGTAGTGCTGGGAGAGAATACAACTGATGTGACTTACATAGTCAAACTCTTAAAATCCTTGCTGTTAGGGATCTTGGTCTCATAATGTTTAAATATATTCTTCTCCTTCATTCCTCCATTAAATAACTTATTTCTGACAATAGCTAATTGTTCAAACATGTGATATTGTTTTGTAACTTTTTTTAAAGAAAGCTTTAACAATTTTTCAGCTGCAAAAACTTAACTTAAATTAGTTTAATGATAGTGTGAACTTAGATTTCGGGGTTTTTTGTTTTTTTTTTAGCAAAGGTGTGTTTTTTTAAATATCTTTTTATCAAAACCCTGAAAATATTCCTGGACAAAGTCCCAAACCTGCTAAGATTGTTCACAGCTATTCTAATGGTTGAATGACCTCCTCAACAAGTGATCAAACTTTAGCAGCCAGGAAAGTATCTATTTTATTCATCTGTGCTGAATCACTGAGATATAAACAATGCAGAAAAATGGCTACAGAAGCAGATAACACTGCTGTAGATGATCATCTGTGGTCAAATATTTAGAGTAATCAACTAAAAATGTCAAATAAACGTATAACTTTGGGAATTTGCAGCCTAGTGGTTAGGGCATTGCGCTCGGATCCCAGAGGTTCTGAGTTCAAGCCCCACTCCCACAGACTGCCACTCTGAGCCCTTGTAGCAAAGACCCCTTAACCCCACAAAGCTCCCCGGGTGCCGCACAATGGCAGCCCACTGCTCCCCAAGGGGATGGGTTAAATGCAGAGGGTTAATTTCGTTGCTTTGTACTTGTCAAAGTGTAATGAATATAAAAAAAAAATTTGAAAAAAGGAACTAAATGCAAAAGATTTTTATCAAATTTTAAAACACAAAAACCGATAACAATAGGCAGAAATTTACAAGAAAATAAAAATTTAAATTTTAAACAACAGGGTAGTCATTTATAAGTGTTAGAGTTCTGGTTCTGTTATTTTTTCTTTTAGATGTTTTCTTTGCTCCTTGTTTTCTAGTTTTTTTTAGGGTTTAATTCTTATTTTATTGTGTTCTTTGTTTTGTTTTCTCAGTTTCTGTCTTAGTCTTGGTTCTGTTATGTTTTCTTTTGAGTGTTCAGTTTTGCTTTAATCCATGTTTTGTGGTCTTAGTAGTTTAATCCTTATTTTGTTGTGTTTTTTTGGTTATTTTCAGTTCTCAGGTTTTTATTTGTTGCCCTCTGCTGCCCTCTTGCGTTCTTGTTTTTTCCCTTGCCCCTTTCTTGTTTCTGCTCTACTCACACCTGCTCCTAATCTGCTCGTTAGCTCTCTCTTTGTTTCAGTCTCCCATACATACTCTCTGTGCAGTTCTTCAGTGCTGGTTCCTCGTCAAACTTCCTCCAACTCTGTCTCTCTGAGCCTTCCACCTTGTGATAGTTATCCCCCTGATGTCTCCATGGTTTCTGGTTCGTTTTGACTTGTTTTCTTGTATTGATTTTTGGATTTTTGGACTTCTGGTATCCTGTTAGTTTGGACTTTGTTTTTTCTTTTTGGATTTTGGATTACCTGCCTCTGTTTTCAGTAAACCTTCATTAAATCACCAAGAAATTCACCCTCTGCTTTCCTGTCTCTGCTTTTGGGTCAACAATCCATAACCAAATCGTGACAATAAGTACAAATAATTAAGCTATTTGATCAAAGTTTGCAAAATCTAAGTACACATATGGAAATGATACAGCTCACATAAAAAAGAGGGTTTAGACAGCTTTAGAATTTGACAAATCAATAACTTACTTTTAGACATCTTAAAAAAATTTAAATTAGTAATTTGACTACTTTACTTTTAAAGATTATAAAACCACAACTGCAGAATCTGATGCAGTCTTACAGAGTAAAGCGTTGCAGGTGGCGTTTTGTTGTGCCTGGTGGAGGGGAAACATGAAAGCTTATAGGAATAAACCTGATATATTATACACATAACCCAGTGCATGTTTAATAAAGCTATTTTATATCTGTTCTTCTATTTTTGTTGAGTTTTTTGCCATCAGTATGTGCAAGATCATGTTAAACAATATAAATAGGTGGACACCTCTTTAAATTTCCAATATAGATGTGTATTGTACAGTCAGGGATGTAATCAATCTTATACATTGTATAGTAAACCCTGAAAAAATCATAATGTGAAGCTATTCATCATGGGTTTCTTTTTTTTTTAATCTTCATCTTTCTAAAAAAACTTGGGAAAATATTGGTTTTAGAGCAATGGAAGAATAAATTGGTTTTAATGCTGTATTCCCTAACGACAGCTCACCCACTGCTGCTCGGATAGCAAGGTCATTGATTGGATTAGTGACTTGAATGGTATTTTGCTAATAAGGGTTTGAGAACAGTTATGTTTATTTCTCACTGGATACAAACAGTTTTACAAATTTAAAGATCTTCAAAGAAGATTTCGATGGCAAAGATCACCTTTAGAATTTCCAAACGCAAAAAAACAACTAAAATGAACATGGCGTTGCTGCTCCTTGGCATGTTTTTGACCTTGTTTTTCATTCAACGCATGCAATTTTCAGAGGAGGAAGTTTTTTACAGTATCTGACCTTGGAAAAAGTAGCCCAGTGGATTTCTTTGACTGACGGAAAATGGTTTATCTAGGAGCTTTGAAACTTAACTTGGACTTGGTGATAGGAGGCAGTTTTTTAAAAGACAAACAATAGCTCCCATATGACACAGCAATTGCTTTTTGGGGGAGGTGGTTGAGAAACAAAGATCACCCACAATGTTATCTCATCATTCTACCGGCACATCAATCAGGGCTCAGGCTGCGGGAGATCGACCTCCTCTGCTCCACAATCAATGCTCTCTTCCATTCTCATCGGTACAGCCGATATGGTGAAAGATACAGGGTATAGGAGCCGGGAAAAAACCAGCACTATATGTTCTAAATGGTGTTGGCTATTAACTCACTGACCTTCGCTGCCTGTCTCCTTTCTCGTTTGCTCTACCTTGTCAGTCAGAGCAGGACCAAAGAGAAAATGTTATCAATAAAGGAATTTTACTCTTTTTTTTGTGGATATAGATTATGTTTATAATAGCACTTAATAATGGTTGATTGCAACAAACTGTAGATGTGTATCTTTTGTAATGCCTGTGTGTTTTTGTTGTTTTGTTTTTGCTTAAATGGACAAACCAGATAAGAAAGACGTCATTTAGGTTTGCTGCATTGTAGGTCTTATGTTTCTAATGCTGAAAGCCTTACGTTTCTTTAGACATACATTTGTGACTACGGTAAATATCTAGATGCTTGAGCAGGACCAGATAATATTCTTCAACTTGTGATGTTTAATAATAATAAAAAAAAAATAAGAGAACATCCACATTCTCATAATAAAAACTTGGTCAAAAACTGTGTTGCTTCCAGCATATCTGTTTTCCCCTCCGTTCTTACGTACGGTACGTACAAGCAAACAAAAAAACACATATAGAATTAAAGCATGCAGGAAGCCCAAAAATATGCATTTTAAATTGCATTTCTATATTCTATGCTTTTAATATTAGAGTTTGTAAACTTAAATTATAATCTTAACAACAAAAATGTATCAATCTTTTATTTTAACCCTTTTACAACTATAAATAGTAGCCTCATCTAAATCCCCAAGCAAAAACAGCACCAAAGAAATGTCAGTGGACTAATAATCTACACAATGCTGTCAAACCTACCTGTCAAAATAATCTCACCAATGCTTTGGAGCAGGGGTCTTCAACAGGAGGTCTTGGACACCTAGGGGGTCCACAGAGGTACTGCATGGGGGTCATGAAAGTTTTGGTTTATAACATTTATTTTTTTTTTTTATATTCTCCCCTGTAATTTTTTCCACTAATTGAAATGTCTTTAAATACACATTAACCTGAATTCAACACACTGTAGTAAACAGATAAATGGCGGTAGAAGATGTCTTTCAGTCATCAATGCACACATTCAGCGACACACATGAGCTCTTTCAATCTGGGCTCCGTTTCATTCACAACACCTGTCCTATCAACCAGGATTTAGAATTAGAAATACTTTAATAATCCCAGGGTAAAATTACTTTGGTTACATTACTTCATCTGTGATAGAGTGACTATAGAAACAGTTTGATATACCACAATTTCATACAATATATATATTTAATTAGGGGGTCCCTGCTCCATCTCACCATCAGTTTGGGGGTCCTTGGCCTGGAAAACATTGAAGAACCCTGCCTTAGAGAATCAGATTAATTTATAAGTGTAATATCGCTGAAGAATAGAGGAGCACAGAGGGTGAACTCCCTAAAAAAAAAAATGAATTCCCTAAAGTAGCCATTTAAGTTTGAGGAGAGATGTAGATTTATGACACAAATAACTGACTTTAAAAAATATGCTGGTGAAGATTCTCAGCCATGCAGGTCATAGTCATTACGGTACGTAAAAGTAAAAAAAAACCAATCCACTGGACTTGGATTCCAAGGTTTGAAGACGTTTCGCTTCCCCTCCAGGAACCTTTCTCAATTCAAAATGTCTGGATTTGCATTAGTTTGAGGCTTTATATAGACAAGGCCTTGTATTGCTTGGAAACATGCAAATTGAACCTGACGAGCGGGTCGTTTGGTTCCAATGTTATCCTGTACTATCTGACACCTGTCTATGATTGACTTTTACGAAACACTTTAAAAAAATTATCTTAACATGGCAATATCTTTGAGATTACTCTCAAATTTCTCATTTTTTTCTAGCCTAACTCCAACAAAATAAAAGAAAATAGTAAGAAAACCAGGCTTGGATGGATAACTTAAATCCAAATTGTCTTATTTTTCACATAAAGAGTAAACTGTGTCAGCTGATCCTTAGAGTCAAATGCCTCACTCTAGCCTACACGTCACAACTACAACTCCCAGAATACCTCTGTGCAACCTTACGCTCTCTTCTTCCTGTTTTAGTGCTGCAGCTGGAAAAAATGGCAGCAGAAACAGGCAAATACAGGGGTGCTGTTAGCAAAAACAAAGACCCCTCTGGGCTTCTTATCTCCGTCATAAGGTAAAGTTATTTTCATTATTATATCTTCAAAGCTAACATTGCAGTTAGGACACGAGAAACCATTCAGTCTGCTTATATTTGCACATTGACGAGATGACAGCTAGCTCTGAGCGGCTACAGGGAGGTAGCTAGCTACATCCTTCCTTTATTATTAACAGAAATAAGCGCTCAATGTTTCAGGAACAGAAATACTTTAGATTTATTAAGAATCTTACTTCTGTTCATTTGAAAACGACACTTAAACATCAGCCACAACAAGTTATTTTAAGTAGCTGATGTATTATTTTCATCACAACCCGAGAAACTGGAAAAATAAAGCAAAACAAAACAGTAAAACTAAAACAAATTGTTTTGAAATCATTTTTTAGCTTTTTAAAAGCCACTCTCACTCTGTTTAGTTTTAGCTCTGCGTCAGTTTTCAATTAGCTTTAAAATAGTCAGTTTCCTAAGTTTTAATTATTTCAGTTAAATCTGAAAAGTGTGGCAGGTACTTGTACTAAGGGCTCCCCGATTCAATGCAGTCCTTAACACCCTGTTTTGCATTTCAATCCTCTAGTCTTCTCTTTTATGTATCTAACCGCTTTGCAAATCTACAAAATTGAAATATTTTTTATCAATATCTTAATAAAAAAATCATCTCTTTGCAGGCGATTAAGCAGACTGAAGATGTTTTATCGTTATCTCCCTTTTATCTCCTCTTTCTTTCTTTTTTTCTCCTTTTTCCTGTTTTTCCTGTCCTGTTCTACTTACATTGCAGTGTCCATATAATCTGTAATACTCCCTCTATAATTATAATAAAGCAAAAGGAAGATAGCTGATGAGAAAAGAGGATTCAAAGGATGGACCGAATAATTTTCGTTCATTATCAATGCGGAACGATTGCCTGCATTTTTGCTTAGTAATGAGAGGTTGGCAAAAAATAAAAATTTGGAAAGGCATTTCCAGGGAAGGCTAGCTAAATATGCAGCCAACAACCAAGCTGGGAGGGAGAGAAAAATGGTGATTGCAGAACCTCTGGATAAATTAGAGGAGAGCAAATATAGATTTAAGAAGTGGATTGCATCTCCAAACTCCACTACTGCTGCTAGTTTTGTTGCAAGGATGGAAAACCGTCCACAGATCGAACAGGTTGAGCTCTGATGCAGGGATGGGAACTTTCTTCCATTTTTTCCCCAAATCCTAAAAATATAAATCACACCAAGGAACGCTGGGATGGGGGATAGAGAGCTCTGCTCTGATGATGTCAGTTCCTGCTTGGTTCCTCATGACTCAATCAACTCCTCCGACCAGAGACACGTCCACCATAGAGAGATTCCTTGATTCTGTTTCTATAATTTCATCAATGCATCAACACTTAAACCGCGCGGTGAAGCAGCGCGGTGAGAGCGTTCACTGCTTGTCCCTCACCTCATTCTGCTATGTGACATTTGCTCAAGGATAAAGATTTAATAATGAATTATTATTATATATTTAAGCCCACATAGTCATTTTCTATAGTGGGATAATACACTTGGAGCCCGTGTTTCCATACGAGGCATGTATGAGACTTTTACATTTTTGCAGCTCTAGACAGATTTATTTTTTGTTTTTTTGGTCCAATATGGCTCTTTGAGCAGTTTGGGTTGCCGACCCCTGGACTAGAGGATCTCTGTGTGTACTTCACTTAAGCATTAAGCCCTTAAGCATTAATTGATAATGGCTTTTTATAGTTGTTACGCACGTGTTCAACTCTGCGTGAACCTACTAAAAAGTTGAATAAAATAACTCATAGCAGCCTTTGTGAAATTAAAAGGTCACAATTTCCAACTTCAAGTGAGATCAATTCAGAGTTGAGGATTTAAGCTGACTTTGTTAAAAGTCTGGTCATATTCAGAATACAAACTTCTCAAAGCACTTTATTTAAGAAAATATTATGTACTGTTTAATAAATGATAAGTGTTTTTAATTAAGAGTAATTTTCATTTCATTGTGTTTTACCAGAGACATCCATGTTTTTAAAATAACACTACTGCCACCTACTGGTTTGCGACGTCACAGTGCGGTATTGGCTGTTAAGCAAGTCCCAATGCTGTTAATGTGTACTTTCACTAATTCACTAACCTTGGAAGCCATTTGGTTGGTTCAATAAAGTTTAATTATTATTATTATTATTATTATTAAATATATAAAAAAACTAAAAGGTGCAACTACTTTTGCAAGGTAATGTATTTCTTTGGTGTTCAACAGCGACACAGAGAATGTTTTTTATATTTTATCATATCATTATTTGTACAATGAAGTAAATGGTTTTAATGCCTGTGAATAAGCCCAAGTGCATTTTCTGTCTCCTTCAGGACTTTGTCCAACAGCGATGACGTGCAGGACAGGGAGACAGAAAAGGGTCGCCTGGAGGAAGCCTTTGAAACCTGCGATAGGGATCTAGATACACTGATTGTTCAGCATTATGCAGAACTCACTACTGCCATCGGGACCTATCAGAGCATCACAGAGCGAATCACCAGCTCCCGCAATAAGATTAAACAGGTATGAAAAAGAGACTTCCTGTTAACACCTGGCACTAATGTCCATCCTGGTTTACCAGGCAAATCCAGATACCCTGAAACAGAGCTGGGAAATCCCACTTCAACTCCTGCACCTATCAGCAGTCTGAAGAGAGATTCATTTTACATGATTTAAATGATTCTTAATGAATTAAATGATTGACTATGCTCAAACTTTTCACTAATTTATAATGATTAAGAGGTATCTGAAGTTTTCCTATGAAAAAATGTGATTAAAAAAGGTCTGTTGAGCAGAAAGCCTTTAGGTGTTCTACTGTGTCAATAAGAGTTTCCTTATTTTTGTTCTTACAGTAACCGTAAAAGACATGTTTTTATCTAACGTATTTTAAGGTACATATTTTTCATATCTCAGATAACATTTCAACGTTGTTAATATTTTATTTGTAATCCTTGTCCTTTTGTTTAGATGAAACCTGAGCATGCAGGTGTGAGTTTTTGGTGCTTTTAATGTCCAGATGTTCAAATAAACACCTGCCTCAATCAGAGGAGATAAAAATAAATCCCTTACTAAGATTTAGACATTTTTAGTTGCTTAATTCTCTGATTCTATAGCAACTTTAAAGAAGTAGTGAGGAAATGTTACTTATAATCACCTCCAGGTTGATATGAACTCTAAAAATCAGTTTAAAGTTTATAACATTGTCACCTAGTGCTTTTCCTTCCTTGCTCCTCCAGGTAAAGGAGAACCTGCTGTCTTGCAAAATGCTTCTCCACTGTAAGAGGGACGAGCTGAGGAAGCTTTGGATAGAAGGTATCGAACACAAGCATGTCCTCCAGCTGCTGGACGAAATTGAAAGCATCAAACAGGTTCCTCAACGCCTGGAGACCTATATGGCAAGCAAGCACTACCTTCATGCCACTGATATGTTGGTGAGTAAAAACGTTGAGAAAGTGGAACGTTTTAGATCTATTTTACCTTCACCTTTTAACACACGAATCATACAATCTACACATAAACACATACGTTTACCAACTGCTGCTACTAAAGATTGATCTCCTTGCTCCTTTTACTGCTTTAAAGAAACCATTTCGAGCCTTGAATGGTCCAGTGGGTGCGACGCGCATCATCTAAGTGCTGTGAGGCCACTGCAGTGGTGCGCGTTTCTGTGCACTGTTGAACATTGCAGTATCCTCTGTAGGGTGGGTGAAGGCTGCTGATGACGACTAAAACAACCAGGCTCTGTGATCTGTCCGTCACTTTCCTCTTTACCACTTTCCAGTCCAATGTCACTCCCACACACCTTTCTCCTCCAGAACCTGCTAATAATTAGTTAGGATGGGGGGTTATTTGAGGAGGAGGGGGAGAAAAGAGAAACGGTGGCACAACCACAAGGCCGTGAAAAATCCTCTTTGTGGGGGTGGATGAAAATGGAAGTCCATTCAACCCCGTGCTCCGTCAGTACAGTGCGTTTTTTAAAAGGTTGTAAAAAGTTCAAAGTCAGCTGGGTGCATTACCTTTGTCGTGCAAACTTTAAATCTGCTTCACTTTATGAGGATGCAGCCATTTTTACTGGCATATAGAGAGAGCTTTATAAACGGCACTTTGTTGGTTTTTATATTTACACATGCTGTTAGGGGCAGCGCTGCTGTTTCCTCCTCTGATGGCGTTTTTATTTGGTATGTGAGTTAAAGCCAAGTGGGACTGAAGCTAAAGTAGGTGGATGTTTGTAGTCTTTCCTATAGAAAAAAATATTTTTTTAACGTTTGCTGCACTTAACATGTATTTCCTTAATGCATTTATGATGATGTTGTAAATCACCTTTAAAATAGATGAAAGCATTTATAAGAGCATGTCAAGACACATTCACCCTTCTTTTTGGCCAGTTTAAATTTCATGCATGCTGTATTTATAAGCATAGATCCAACTCACAGCAGATATCCTGTAAATTTAAGTTAAGTTCATATCTAGGTATATAGAATCTGTTTGAATTCAGGTTAAATCAATCCAGTTAATTTAAGTCCAGCCCAATTATATGTTGAGAACCGAGGCCCACAATAAAGTTTAATCTAAATTCTAACACAGTATATTCTTAATCAGCCTGTCACTGGATTTTAATTGATTTTAAAAAGTTATCCATAACTACATAATTAAAGAAAAAAAATCCAAAACACTAAGCCAATTTTCCGAATTTTTTTTTTCAGAAAAAAGTTAAATATGGTGAAGCCAGACTGAAGTTGAGAATTATAGCAGAAAAAAAGGCAGGAACCAAGTTTATCAGTAAAGACAATATTATACAAAATAAGTAGAAACTGTACAAGGCTGCTGCTGAATACATTTGATCCTTATTTGCAATGTGAAAATATTAGTTTCGTATGCATCAGATCCAAGTTTGTTAAAAAAAATATTCACTTTGAAATAGAACAAAACTTTATCAGTTCTTCATTAGTAGAATCAGCATCAAATTGTTGGGAATATGGAAGCCTACAGTGGAAAACTAAAGCTGAACAATTTTATTATATGAAATAAATAATTTCCCTATTTAATCAAAAGTCTCTACTTGGATAGTAGAATTTTTGTCCATGGTTTCCCCAAATTAACAAGGAAGTGGCATCAGAGTTATATATTTACTAGATGGTTGGCCCTATGTTGTCATATTGTAAGCAATCTCCTTTTCAATTCAATTCAGTTTATTTCCATAGCGCCAATTCACAACACATGTCATCTCAAGGCACTTTACAGTTCACCAGATCATTCAGTCAAATTGATTAAAAGTTTTCTTTTTTTGCTCTTAGTTAGGAAATCTTTTGAAATCAGTAATAGTATCTTTTTTTTTTTTTTTTTTTTTTTTGGTGTTTTTTTAATGTGCCAGCTCTACCTTTTTGTGGATAACTTAATGGTAAACACACCCAAAGAAATGCTGAGCCGGTATAGAAAAGCAAAAACTCCTCCACTAAATGTCAGCGGTCATCATTTGGTTGAATGAACTGGTTTTTAATCACAGCTTTTATGCTTCGTGTATCAGGGTCTCCAGGTTCAGACCAGAATGAATCAGTATCTCATAAGAGGACAGTAATGAGGGCTTATGTTGTGTTTCAGTTGGAATGGAAAGAAAATGTCACTGTCGCGTCGTCTTTTTCATCCTCTCAACCTTCCTGCACAAAAGTCCCTTATGAATGATAGACGATTTCAGGATTGATGGTATTTAAATTCTATGACTTGCATTAAGAATAATCAATCACTGTTAGAGCTTGGTTGAAACCATCAAACAGTTTTAATGCTTTAAATACCTAAAAACTGACCATGGGATTATTAATAACCACAGTTATTTCGTATTTCATTTTTAAACTGGTTTATGTGAACACAGATTGTTGCAGAATGTGTATAAATCTGTGTAATTCCTGCATGTTTACACCCTTGTTCCTGTCCTGTAGCAGAAGTTTAATTGCCAGGAACAAACATTCCCTTCTCTGCGGTTTACTCTCACCAACATGGTGTGCATGCATTTTTACCAGGCTCATCTCCTCAATTAAAATTCCAACTGAGCACTCTTTGTATTCAGAAATGGCAGTACTGCATCCCATGGGTTTGGTTTATAAAAGCCAACCTTGCCTTTCCTTTTTATGCCCTTGTTCCTGTTGTATCACTAAAATCCAGGTGTGCGCAGGTGAAACCCCATTTGGAGTGGAGAAGCCAGCGATAAACCTTTGCTTCTCTTTGCAAATTCACTAGAGGGTTCATATTCCTCATTATGCTGACAGGCCTGTTCCCTAATGATGTTAAGCAGTCTTCCTTCCTCATCCCATCCACACACACATAGACACACACACCTCTTCTGTGATTTACAGGCACACAATCACACTCATATAATTAGACTGAGACACATCTAAGATGTGTGTACTGTAAGTGTGTACAGAGATCACATGCAAAGCCTTGCTGGCATAGGGAGTTATTATATTTTGCTAAAGGAGGCTGATCATGAAGCACATTAACTCATCCACTTGCTAGTCTGAGTCTCATTTGCATCAGCACACACTTGACCCATGCCCCATGCCCACCATATTCCCCCCCTCACTCCCCTCTCTCTCTCTCTCTCTCTCTAACTGTTCCCTCCTGGCCTGTCCGGACCATGCAGATATACTGCATGCAGCTGAATCATCTGTCTCTTTGTTCATTTAGGATCCTCATTAACACATCATTAGAAAAGGCAACATTTTATTTATTGCTGGAAGATTCAATAAAGTGAGAGCATAACTGCTGCTGCTGTGTAAATACAGGAAAAAAAATGTAGGGTTGTAGCAGAAATGGTCTGGTCCGGTAACCTTGCGCTGTAAGCTGGACTTTCGTGAGATCTCAGTCTTCAGTCTCACAACAAATCCATTTTGAAAGACTCCCGATAATACATCCATCTAGTAACAACCAGTGAGTCGGACCAATGACATGCCAGCAGGGTTTTTTGGGGCGGGACATGTAGGAATGATGACAGTCAGAAGGGCCTTACAAACATGGCTACGCTGGAAGGCTAGACTGTCCATACCGCAATTGACTTGATTTTAGCTAAAATAGCGACAATTTCCCATTTAAAAGAGCAAAGAGAAGCACTTTGTGCATTTGTAGATGGGAAAGATGTCTGTGCTTCTCTGCCGACAGGATTTGGAAAAAGGTTGATTTATCAGCCTACTCCGCTAGTTGACACTCAAGAAGCTGCAGATGAATCCTGCTTGAAACTAGGGGTGCACCGATTGCAGTTTTCCGGCCAATTTCCGATCACCGATCTTTAAAAAGTCTGACCTGCCGATTCCGAATTTGGTTGATACCGATTTTAGTGTTTTTTTGCTATAACCAACACTCTGTTACAAGATCGCAATTCATTTTCAATGTTACAATCTTTTCTTGAAAAACATGCCCTTGAACCATTATAAACTTGTTTTAACTGCCCATGAGGTAAAACCTTGACATAGAAATGAATTAAATATTAAATATTAATTGAATAAAACAAACTTAAGACTACAACATTGGCCTTTTGATTTTTTACATTTCAAAAAACAAAACTTCAACAAAAGATCAGATTAGAGATCTGTTTTAAGGTTCTTACCAAAAATAAAGTGCACAGTAGTATTTTGCTTTTACAAAATCACAAGGTTCAAGGTCCTTTGAGCCAAACGTAGCATCAAATCGCGACGTTTCAAGACTCGATGCTACGTTTGTTCTGAAAGCGTATTATGGAAGGCGGGTACTAGCTGGCACATCACCCAATCCGCTAAAAGTATTCTACTAAATGTCCCTCCTTTTCACAGCAATCCTACATTGATAACTCAGAACTCAACTCAGTTCTAAATATCAATCTGGCCACTGCCAGGTTACTGGTCCGGACCAATGACTCCTGGTTGTAATTAGTGGCCTGTCCCGCTAGAGGGCGTCTGGCTCACTGGTCCCTCTGCTGGTATGCCGTAAGGAGCAGAGTATAATGAGTCCTTCCCCTCCTAGAAGACGTCTTGGGTTAATTAAGTCAATTCTGATTTCATTTTTGTTCAGTCACTGCATTTTTTATCAGGCTACCTCCCTGAAATTGTTATTTCAATGAATAAATAAATTGATAGTAACTGTGTGCACTTAGATGGACTTAGGGTAACTTTATTTGTCAAACAATAATGGAAAAAAATTTTACTTAATAAATATGCACTAGCCTTTGTATCATTGTTGGAAAATGCTTCATAAAAGAATACAATGTGTAGTTTTGTAAACTGCTGCATACTGATCACACTCATTAGAGCCTTGCATTTTTAACAAATTAAATCAAGTCTTTTTGAAGCTATATCAATTAATTTTCTTTTTTTGTGCAAACATTTAATGAAGGACTGCAAAGGAAAACCTCCTCATTGGTTTGTTGATTGTAGGTGACAGCCGTGGAGTCCCTGGAAGGCCCCTTGTTTCAGGTTGAGGGGCTTGGAGATCTCCGCCTGGAGCTCAAAAACAAGAAGCTTAACATCCACTTAGTGCTCATTGATGAGCTGCACCGGCACCTCTACATCAAGTCCACAAGTCGCCTCGGACACAAGAACAAGGACAAAAACGCTGCCCGAGTTCCAGGGTAAAGCATGTCTTAACGTATTTCGTATTTAAGCATTTCAGCATGTCTTAACGTATCCAGTTTGAAAACATGTTTTTCATTGAAACCAGCTAATTTTTTTTATATTTCTTATTCTATGACTTTTCCTTCCTATAAAACAAGTAGATGTTGGCTTCAAAAACACACGCCTTACTCCCCTGAGAGACTACACTTAAACATAGAAAAAGTTTATATTATGAAAAGAAAAAGTTTTTTTTTACCGATCCTCTCTGCATATATTCATTATTTAAATGTCATGACAACTGACAAAAACTTGCCAATTGTTTTCTTAACGAACCAAGAACATTAGCATGAATAATTGAATCTTTTTTGTCCTTTGAAGCCTAAAAGGAATCAAACGACAAGCATTAGGTTTGCTTATTTTTAGCAGCAGACGATATTTTCTTACTAAAACTAAAATGTTTAACAGTTTCAGACATACTTTATCTGCTGTGGTCCTTTATATTGACAGAAAAAAACCACCTTCCTTGTGCTTTCTGACAGTGATTATCTAAATGACAGAATAGGTTTACCAGCCGCAATGAGGTAAACTGTGACCTGAAGGCCAGTTTCTAACTTTGGTTATTCTGCTGTCTAACCTATTAGCAATAATGCACCCCCACAGGCTAAGAACTCACATTTATTGCTTTAGTGTTCCATGGAAAGCTTTCATTTAAAGAGCTGTTTGCACTTTACCATGTGTGTATTTGTGGGGGTGCAATAATTACAGTGGCAGTGGGTTGGTGAAGCACAATGATTTATTAATCAGGGTTAGCTAGTGACAGGTTCTAGCCCTCCTGTATTGGTTTGCCTCTAACAACACACCAGCTTCCATGCAGCCCACTCACTTAACAGGCACACGGTGTTTATGCCGCCTAACTTAACAGACCTGGATTTGATTGCCACCTCGAGCTTGATAAATGGCTCATTGGAAAGCAGCACCATCCTCGCCAGGCAAAGATGTGGGGCGTTTTATTCCAACTGGATGTTGTTTTTGTTTACACAAGTGCAGGTTTGAATCCCACAAATTCCATTAAGTGTTTTTTTTTCTTTTTAGATAGTGCCACATAACTGCTAAAGTCTTCTTTATGCACTTTACTGGATGGTAGCTTTAGTTTATATTCAGATAAAATTTAAATCAAACCATAACCAGATCAGATATGTTGTTCAGATCAACCCAAGTTATGGTAAAATATGGTAGATATGTCGGTTAGTTAAATGTTAACAGTTTGAAGAGCTCATGGAGTAACATCTAGCTGCTGATGTTGCAGCATTTTCTCATGTTGAGGAGACATGTTGTGACTTCAAAAAGAAAGCACTCCTCCTTCAGTCTCTGCATGAAGAACCATCTGCTGTGACTCGTTGGAGGCTGAGAGAACAGAAAGAAGACAGACTGAAAACATAAAAGCTTTTGACCTGGAGTACTTTATAAAGGAAGCAGCTATAGTCCTCATGGCAGCAACTGTTCTGTTAGTAGACTCGTTCATTTAGAGGACAGAAGCAGGAGTTCTGGTTAATGAACTGAGCACAAAAAGCAGAAAGAAAGTTTCAGGTAGAAATTATAGCAAATAAAAGTTAAATAAGAAAAAAGCTTGGGAAATGAGTGGGTAAACAAGGTCAGTCTGTTCCCTTACAGCCTTAGCCTATAGCATTTTAGTTCTTTTCATTATGAGTCGGATAAAAAAAGGACTATTTTTGACACACATACACTAAGTGGAAGCTAATTTCAAGGGATGAAAGCTTAAAAGCATATGAAAGTGTCTTTGGATGACTAGACTATGTTTGGAAAAATAAAATATCCAGTAATTGTGTCTTTTCTCAGGTCCTTGACCAAAGATACATCTCCCATGTCTGTTTTGGAAGTGAGCAGCCTGTCGACTCCACGCAAGCTTCTGGATTCTTCACAGTTCAGCACACCTGGATCCGGCAGTGGTAGATATTCTATTAGAGCGTCTCAGATTGATATAAGGAATGAGAAGATAAGAATATTTAACATAGAAAAGCTGTGTAACATATGTTTTTTCATTTTAGTCTGCTCACATTAAAATCTCTTAAGGCACACATTAACAACTTTAAAAAGATACAATTTTTGTTCTCTTAAAGACAAATGCCGACCTAAATATAATGAAACACAACATTTTCCCTCTAGGAAACACCCACATTCCCCTTCTAGAACATGTCATAACATCTTCAACTCTGATCATAATATATCCCTTCTCTAACAATATAATCATCACCCGCNAAAAACTTGCCAATTGTTTTCTTAACGAACCAAGAACATTAGCATGAATAATTGAATCTTTTTTGTCCTTTGAAGCCTAAAAGGAATCAAACGACAAGCATTAGGTTTGTTTATTTTTAGCAGCAGACGATATTTTCTTACTAAAACTAAAATGTTTAACAGTTTCAGACATACTTTATCTGCTGTGGTCCTTTATATTGACAGAAAAAAACCACCTTCCTTGTGCTTTCTGACAGTGATTATCTAAATGACAGAATAGGTTTACCAGCCGCAATGAGGTAAACTGTGACCTGAAGGCCAGTTTCTAACTTTGGTTATTCTGCTGTCTAACCTATTAGCAATAATGCACCCCCACAGGCTAAGAACTCACATTTATTGCTTTAGTGTTCCATGGAAAGCTTTCATTTAAAGAGCTGTTTGCACTTTACCATGTGTGTATTTGTGGGGGTGCAATAATTACAGTGGCAGTGGGTTGGTGAAGCACAATGATTTATTAATCAGGGTTAGCTAGTGACAGGTTCTAGCCCTCCTGTATTGGTTTGCCTCTAACAACACACCAGCTTCCATGCAGCCCACTCACTTAACAGGCACACGGTGTTTATGCCGCCTAACTTAACAGACCTGGATTTGATTGCCACCTCGAGCTTGATAAATGGCTCATTGGAAAGCAGCACCATCCTCGCCAGGCAAAGATGTGGGGCGTTTTATTCCAACTGGATGTTGTTTTTGTTTACACAAGTGCAGGTTTGAATCCCACAAATTCCATTAAGTGTTTTTTTTCTTTTTAGATAGTGCCACATAACTGCTAAAGTCTTCTTTATGCACTTTACTGGATGGTAGCTTTAGTTTATATTCAGATAAAATTTAAATCAAACCATAACCAGATCAGATATGTTGTTCAGATCAACCCAAGTTATGGTAAAATATGGTAGATATGTCGGTTAGTTAAATGTTAACAGTTTGAAGAGCTCATGGAGTAACATCTAGCTGCTGATGTTGCAGCATTTTCTCATGTTGAGGAGACATGTTGTGACTTCAAAAAGAAAGCACTCCTCCTTCAGTCTCTGTATGAAGAACCATCTGCTGTGACTCGTTGGAGGCTGAGAGAACAGAAAGAAGACAGACTGAAAACATAAAAGCTTTTGACCTGGAGTACTTTATAAAGGAAGCAGCTATAGTCCTCATGGCAGCAACTGTTCTGTTAGTAGACTCGTTCATTTAGAGGACAGAAGCAGGAGTTCTGGTTAATGAACTGAGCACAAAAAGCAGAAAGAAAGTTTCAGGTAGAAATTATAGCAAATAAAAGTTAAATAAGAAAAAAGCTTGGGAAATGAGTGGGTAAACAAGGTCAGTCTGTTCCCTTACAGCCTTAGCCTATAGCATTTTAGTTCTTTTCATTATGAGTCGGATAAAAAAAGGACTATTTTTGACACACATACACTAAGTGGAAGCTAATTTCAAGGGATGAAAGCTTAAAAGCATATGAAAGTGTCTTTGGATGACTAGACTATGTTTGGAAAAATAAAATATCCAGTAATTGTGTCTTTTCTCAGGTCCTTGACCAAAGATACATCTCCCATGTCTGTTTTGGAAGTGAGCAGCCTGTCGACTCCACGCAAGCTTCTGGATTCTTCACAGTTCAGCACACCTGGATCCGGCAGTGGTAGATATTCTATTAGAGCGTCTCAGATTGATATAAGGAATGAGAAGATAAGAATATTTAACATAGAAAAGCTGTGTAACATATGTTTTTTCATTTTAGTCTGCTCACATTAAAATCTCTTAAGGCACACATTAACAACTTTAAAAAGATACAATTTTTGTTCTCTTAAAGACAAATGCCGACCTAAATATAATGAAACACAACATTTTCCCTCTAGGAAACACCCACATTCCCCTTCTAGAACATGTCATAACATCTTCAACTCTGATCATAATATATCCCTTCTCTAACAATATAATCATCACCCGCCCCCCCCCTACATGAACCATTAGTCACCCAGTGTCTCTGCGTTCACAGCAGGAGAGCTGCGTCTATGAGCTCAAACTGGTAGAAGCTGAAAAGAAGGATCCCTAACTGTGTTCAGAAATGTATGAGGTCTCGGTGGTAGGGGTGTAGAGTCAGCACTACATTTCTTCAAGGCAGAGCACCGAGGAACACAAACACCAAGATAATGAAAAAAGTTAATCCAGCAATAACTTGGCATTCCCTGGGAGTTACATTTTTTTTTTATATTTATTTTTTTATAAGGCTGGTATTTTTTTCCCACCACCCACTCTTGGCATTCGAATTTAACAACTCGCTGGTTTTAGCTCAGCAGATACCAAACAGGTTTCTGTTTGGTTTTAACTATTTCTACTCACTTATATTGGTGTAAAGATTTTAGCAGCTCTTTATTTCTTTACATGATTGCATCCACCTCTGAGCCTGCTTGCTTTGACCTCAAATGAGTAAACAGCTGGGGGAAAAAAAATCTGAATTGCTTCTAATGCTTCATAAATATCTGATCACTTTCCCCGTCACTGTGGACAGAAAAGTAAAAGCTCGACCACAGTTTCCCCTCTCGTTACACAAACTGAACTCTTAACAATTAGCCGCCACCGGGCGTTAAGTGCCTATATACCACCATGTTAACAACTGCGGTCACGACATAGCAACTGGCTTCCATCAGAGGCCTGCCTTTCCATTTTGTCTAATAGCATTAAAGCACCTCATTTGTAGATAGTAATTGTCATAATTATTACACAGGCTGCAGTCGGAATGGGTGAAAAGAGGAAATACACCCAAAGTCCATTAACTTGCTATAAACATTAACTCCCCTAACGTGCTTTGATGGGGAATTGGGAGGCCCCATCTAATGGAAATTAGAGCATCACTCGATACTGCCATTCTCAATTTAGCTGCTAATGTGGCTAACTCAGCTGCTCAGAGTACTGGGGGGTGGGGGATGGGGGGGCAGGTGCAGGTGTGTGGGCTTAAAAGATTAAGATGTAAAAATACTAAAAGCATTTAATAGATATAAATATATATTGACATACATGCATGAAAGAGACGTAGTTTCATTGGTTTAAATCTACTTTTTTTTGTTTTTTTAGTGCGTGAGCAGCAGCAGGATATTTGGGATCTGAGTCAAGCAGATCTTTCTGAGGTGGATCCAGAGGAAAACAGCGCTGAGTTCATGGGAATTCTCATCAAGGTATATGTGTTGATCTAAAGGTATAGTGGAGGATGTTCTTTTACCCGGTGGATTATCACAATAAATGGTCCTCCTATTGTCAATCATTCTGGTGACATGTTTACGTGCTCGTCCCCATTTTTACTTACCGGTGGTGAGTCTGACATAGTGGGAAATTTGCAAATCTTCTTTTGGAAAGTAAGCTTGCATGAGTGATGTAAACTCAATCTCTAAATGCAAAGCTGGTAGAGGCCAAAGTTGGTTTTGGAAGAGGTTTTGATGGATAATTCTGTTGGGGAAATCATAAGTTCTCCACCTCGTGTTGTCACCAAGTATCCCAATAGAATACATTAAGGTTCATGGTTGTGATTTGACCAAATCTGGAAAAGTTGGAGGTAAAATTATTGTTCCATCTCAATGCAAGTGTTCATATTATTACTGATTCAATGTTCCCTTTATTCTTTTTGAATAGGGTATTTTTAATCCATCTTCATCTTGAACTTTTTTGTGTGGATCCAAACTAAGACTAGTTTTGGGTTGGTTATACTGTCCTCCACCGTTGCTAAAACTTTTATTTTAGAAAAGTAGCGCCATGGGGCATGATGCTGCCATATTTATTTTTTGTTTAGGTTCAAAGTATGCCTTTAAGGTATAGTAGAGGATGTTCTTTTTCCAAGTGGATCATAAAAATAAGTGGTCTTCCTAATTGTCAATCATCATGATGATATGTTTTACGTATCATCATGATGGCCGTCCAACGTGCTCGTCCCCATTTTCACTTAACGGTGGTGAGTCTGGAATAGTGGAAAAATTGCAAATCTTTTGGAAAGTAAGCTTGTATGAGCGATGCAAACAGCAACTATTAAACAGAGCGTGCACGAGGAAAAATGGGCTGTTGCATGCTCTCACCCATGTTTAATAGGCATTCCCTCTAGGCAGCGTGTACAGTTTTATGCATGTGCATTTTTTTTTTTAAGTGGAGAAGGTGGGTCTTTTAAAAAAAAAAAAATCCCGAAAATCCTCCACTATACCTTTTAAAAAAAAAAAAGAAAATCTATAGTGAAAATGGTGTGTAATTTTTCTTTCACTTACTGTCCTAAAATTGCCAATCTGTCCATAATATCGTAATGAAATGCATTGATCTTTACAATAGAATAGAATAGATAATCCCTTTATTGTCCCACAATGGGGAAATTTATGAGGTTGATGAAATGTGAAACGGTTCAAGGGTTTGACATTTGGCGTTTATTTCTCTGAGGATTTTAAACGTGCATCTTGGTCATTTTCTGCAGGCTCTTGCCAAACTAAAGAAGCTTCCCGAAACCACTAAAGCCATAATGGAGCGACTGGAGCCCGAACTGAAACAGATCGTCAAGAGATCCACCACTCAGATAGCAGATCACGCTTACCAGAGAGGAGAAAACCTAGCCCAGGAGAGCCAGCCAAGGTACAGCAAAGTCTAATGATCTGCAAATGAAAAAAAGAAAAAAAAAGTTTACAGAGAAAGTCTTAAATAAGCAGATAAAATCAGTTTTTTCAAAGTAAACATTACTTTCTTCATTAGAATATTAAGTTTAATTTGAAAAATCGATTATTAACAGCAGCATGCTGCAAGCTGATATCATCTCTGAAAAATATCTTAATAAAGCTGCAACTTGTATCCCCAGCAGTATTGGATCTGTATAAGAGTTTTATTAAGCTGCCAGTTTGCTTATTATTTTGAAACAATGGTATTCCCATTAGGATCTGTTTCCCAGTGTTATTAAATAAAAGACGGCCACTCTGTCCATTGATTGGAGGAGTGCGGGTTTGCCTTTCTCCCTGCAGGTTCTTAGTTAAACAGAAGAGCTGATTATTGCATCAATATCAATATGCTGAATAGCACGGGTCTGGTGAATGTATTTATGGCTGTTTTGAATTCAGTCCCTCAATGCTCATAGTCAGACAGTCAACCAGGTGTGAAACAGAGCAAAGCCAAGTGCTGCAGAGCCAGCCGGCCTCAGACCATGAAAACAAACACTCTGCTGCTTTAAACAAAGACACGTCATGCTTAAACACACCCTTAGAAGCAATTGTGCACCTGCCTTATAGGACTGCCACATTTTTAAAAGCCGTCACGTTAGCTGCTGCAGACGTTCACATGCAGGATCCAGTCCTGAGAAGCACAGGTCTCACTCCACTGATCCCGAACCATTTAAGAGGGACGTCTTGTTTTCTGTCAGGGATGTTCTCGCCAGCCCCGTCTGCTTTGTTTCTCCTTTCGCTGTGCGTATCTCATTTGACCTCGGTGTAATAGGCCGCCATGTAGCTCATTTTAGGTCCTATGCTCAGCAGATTGTTTCTGAATTTGCTTGCATGTGTGCGTCTGCGAGCACTTAACACTTTAGAGCGTGTGTGTGTTTGTATTTGGATGCATATACTGCTGGTTCTCTCTATGTTCACTTCAATTTAAAGTCAATGCTTGTTGCTATGGAAACTCCACCTGATGTAGCACTTGTCGGGAACAATGGTCTTGAATATTGCACACTATATTTTACAGCACTGCAGACCAGCAAGCAATACTTAAACTCTTTATTACTTAAACAGGAGTGTGTAACTTCCTTATTGTTATTCTCATTCAACTATTTATAAAAGTGTTGATACATTCCATGTTATTGCCTCAGAGCGGTGTACTTTATTTTAAGTAATAGAACAATAGGAAGTAGAACCAAGTGGTCAAGTGGAAGGAAGGTTGGCTGTGTTTTATTTAAACTTAGAGAATGAATCAAAGATTTAAGCACAAAAGCTAAATTTAAGAGGAATGGTAGTTGGCAGTGTTCCAGGGATGGGGGATGATGTGTTTGTTGGAATCTGCAGTTTGACTTTTCTTTGTTTTTTTTGCATTTTTCTTTTACTGCTGGTCCATTTGCCAACTGAAAAGCTTGCTTTTTCAAAACTGGGTTGACCTGCAAACAATCGGCTTTTGGCTCTTTTTACATTTGATCGAAAAGCGGAGTCTGACCCCTTGTTGGAAAGCTGCATGGCCGCTGTCCCCCGCCACTGTGAGTCTGATGACGGCATCACGCTGGGCGAGCATTGATTATGTCGACAGTGTGACTAAAATCAGGAAAGTAAACAATGGGAAGCAACTAGTTAGGAAGCCTGAGCGTAGTGAGTATTCTTTATTATGTCGCTCTTGTATCTGTCCAAATCCCTCTTACCAGCGATGCGCCATGTTTATCGAATGTAAACAGTGTTTAAAGTGACTGGCACGGTGTGTTGATGTCCATACGTTGTGTTCAATGGTGTCCCGTAATTTAGCAGGTCAACCCGGGTGTGGTGTTCTCACAGCATGCCGATCAGAGCTGGGGCAATTTTAACGCAGGTTGCTTGCTGAGTTGTTTGACCTGGGTAGGGACGTGGCAGTGAGCTTTTCCTATTTCCACAAATACCAGATTGTTCTTGGGTTTAAAAAAAGTGGGAAAGATGTAAGAGTCTCTGTTCCACGTTTGCTTTGTCTTCTGCATAGCTTGTTGAGGCTTGCTTCTCCCATTGTGGATTGCAGGAAGAATGGCTGTCTTGTGAATCTCTGTCTCTTCAGAGTTACCAATGAGTGCCTACATTTACGAGTTTAAGTGGATGAGCATGCCTTGATAGGTTTGTAGTTGATCTTAAACATATTTTATTAACTTCACGTTGCCTCATATTTACTTTGTGTTTTTTTTGGAAATACATTCAAGTTTTCCATCATGGTGTACAACTGTTTCTGGAAACATTATATTTACCCTTAAAACCTATGAAGGATTGATTGTATAAGGGAAATGTTTGATTTAGGAAAGAAAATGAAAATCTTTTTTTCCCCCTTCATAGTCTAAGGCAATCTATTGAGCGATTAAAAAAAATATATATATCTTTTTTGGGGGGTAATTTTAAAGCCAAATCCAAAACATTTTAGTTCATATCCAGCTGTTCAGCTGAGAAGTTCCTTGAAATATTGCTGTGACGAATCTGTGCAAATGACATCCGTTTTTTTTTTTTCCCTGACAGCAAGATGACCAGGCACACTTAATATTTCACAAGTGTTCACTCAGCACATCAGAACCCTATTTACAGTAATTTAATGATCTTTGACTGACGCTCAGTCTAATGATAATCTAATTTTTATGCAGCTGTTGTCTTTCTACAATGAGTCACGCACTTTCCTGCTGCTGGCCAGTTAGTCAGAGACTCTCTGCTATTTCTCTCGACTTTTCATGAGCGACTGGTGTCAGCTTCGATCCTGAGAGGAAATGAGACGAGAGGTCTCAAGGAACCAACGTTATGGATTAGGATGGCCTCCGCTGGGAGATAATGAGGAAGACTTGGTCGTCTACTCTTCAGTGCCTATCTATAGATGTGTGTGTGATAGTGTATGTGGGGAGCATTGTAGTAATGGCAAAAGGTGACAAGGTTAAAATCATAGGTTATTTATCTACCTCTTAACTTTCCCTGCAGATGGATGATTGTTTTACTTTTTAATAGTTTAATAGTCTTTTAATGCGTTCGGTATAGAGCAGGAAATAAAACCAAACCTTTAGGTTTAAATATCTCACGAAGCACCTTTTAATCACTGAAATACATTAAACACACTGACAGACTAGGCAATATATAGATATATAAAATTTTTAGTCTCTGAATGAGCATTAGATGCAGATAATATGAAGTTCCAAAGAGGATTCGAGACAAAGAAAGAAAAATGAGGAACATTTCATGTACTTAGGCATTCATGGCATTCAAAGAAGTTCCAGTCTTCACCATGTTTTGTAGGGCTTTAGGCATAGATTGACCGTCTATGACAGCTGCTTGCTCTCCTAACTTGCGATATCTTCTTTCTTCTTTTTAGTCTACTGAATAATGATGGTTTTATTGATGCATTTTTTAGTAGTCTCCTCCTCAGAAAAAGCCGCCTGAAGGAAGGCAACAACGTTCTGATCCTGACAGAATACGGCCCATTAATGCAGGGGAACTATTTCAGAAGGCAGGATCCAAGGTTTACTCTATCGCATAAGGCCCATGAGACAGTCCAGCGGATAGCGGCAAGGTGTAAGATGCAAGCAGGGACAGAGCACGCCCTGAGCCGTTACCAAGTGGCAGAAAAAGTGTCAGAAATAACTTTGCAAAGTGTGGTTTACATTACTGCTGGATTACTCTACTGAAAGGAGTTTGAGAAGAACAGCTACAACTCTGTGGGATATTTGATCCAGCAGCTACTTTATAACTCACTGGGAAAGACGTTTTTTTTGGTTAGACGTTACAATCATAGTTCACAAGATCAATTGAAAAGAGACTGCTTGGTTGCAGAGTCTAGAGTGGTTCAATTGGATCATGGATTATCTGGGCCTTTAACCAAACAACGTAACCCACCTGAGGACTCTATGAATCATTTTCCAGTCTAATATAATGGCACTAACCTCTCCAACACCCAGCTTTACACTGAAGATTCAAGATACACCACATGTGTCATAATATTTAAAGTTTTAACTAATATAATTACCAATTTATTTGACTAAACGTTTGTTGGACGATATTCCAGTTGGGAAACTGCTGGCTGACCTAAATAAAGGCTCAACCAAAAGAGTTACTGCAGACAGTCATTATTTCATTATTTGCTATACTCCCCCTCTAACATAAAGTAGTTACTCGCTATCATGGTTCTCATCTAATATAACCTGTGTTCCCTCTTTGCTTCGAAAGCTTCGTCCTTCTGCCAAAAGTAGGCACAGCTGAGTCTGGTTGAAAGCATTAGTGCAGATGAAGCAACTGTGAGCTTTCAGTCCTAAGTAGGGCTCTCAGATCTAGTGGAAGGTCAGTTTGGTTTTGGATATGCTCTCTCTTCTTCAACCAGAGCCATTTAGTACTAATGAGAGCAGCTTTTCATTTGGATCCATGTACAGGCATCCAGGTACTGAGAACTGCTAATTAACACCAAGCTGTAAAAAACACTTTATCTTCATTTACAAATCATATATTTTAACAAACTCTGTATTCATAGATAAATTACTATTTGTTCAATTGGTTTATTTCTTTTTTTCTGTACTGTAATATTATTTTCTCTTGTAATATTCCCTTAAGTCCTCTTCATCTCTCCATTATCCACCTCTCCTCACATCTCACCCTCTTATGCTGCTCTCTCTGGCTCCCTCTGCAGGCTGCTGTTGGATCTGCTGGAGCTTTTGTTTGACAAGTTCAAGGCGGTTGCCCAGGCTCACAGTGTGGTGCTGGCCCACATGCAGCAGATCGCTGCACAAACTCCGGCTGTGACCCATGAGGAGGAGATCAAGCTCTACGAGCAGGCTGATGTTTCTGCCAAAATCCAGGCTGTGCTGCAGGTTAGTTTTGAGCAACAGTGACATAACTAGTGTTGTTTTTGTATCTGCTTGGAAATATTTAAAGTATTAAAAAGTTGAACATGGTTATCAGTCACTGAATATTAAATATCTACGAATTTGGCATGTTCCCTCGTTACTTAAATAATCCTCAAGCTGCTATGGCAGTTACTTTGTCAAAAATAAAAAATAAAACACTGAAAAGCATATATTTAAAATTTAAATATCTTAGATGTTAGAATAAATTTGATTAGGAAATGTTCTGTATCATTTTCTGTAGTCAACCTTAAAATTAGGTCAGTATAGCCCTAAACAAATTATGCATTTGATGCCCTTAACAGTGTTTATATTTTCTAAAAGCAACTCATGGTGCAAAAATCTCTAGAGCCAATTCTAGCAGCTATACCTGGAAGTTTGAGTTGGTAAAACCTTCCACCATGCAAGCTTAGATCACGATCAAGCTCATTGGCTTAATTCAAGTTAAACTGTTTGACAGATGGCTTCACCTTTGCCTCTGGAAAACTAAATCCAAGGTAATAGCAATCATAAGACTGCTTTGTTTTGCAAAGAAAAAAACAAAACTGTTTTTTTGGAGAATATTAAAACCCCAGCTATTTTCTTTCACAAGTGGAGCAGTGCAGCTATCACCATAGTGTTCCGCTTGATTTATGCATAGAAATTGCTTTATAATAATTATGCAGGGAGTTTTACAGACTATATGGATACTGCAATGTAGGTAGAACAGGAAAAGAAAAACAGAAAAAAGGAGAAAAGATGAAAGAAAGAAGATAAAAGGGAGATAATGATAAAACACTTTCAGTCTGCTTCATCACCTGCAAAGAGATGTAAAAAGAACAGCACAACCAACGGACATGGTACGAGACATACAATAAAGTAACACCTAGATACTATCGCTGCGGTATAAGTAGTATTATTTAATCTGACATGTATACTGTGGTAGCTGAAGGTAAGAATATGGGCTTTCTGTATGGAAGTGAATCTCTAAGTACCTGGAATCAAGCACCTGTAGTTGTTTGGCATCAAGACAATTATTCTTTTTGCCATATCACCAGACAGGACACTGTTAAAAAAAAAAAAGTCCCAGCTATCAGGGGGTACAACAGAAGTAGAAGGTCAGTCTGGTTTTAATGGGTCCGATTTGGGTGTATAGTGTTTTAAATTATGATGTGGAGATGGGGTTTGTAATATCCCCATCACAATGCTACCACCACCCTGTTTCACCATGGCGATGGTGTCTTCAGGGGAATGTTCATGTAACCCTTTCTGGTAATGCCTAGCATTTAGGCCAAAGATTGACAAGAGTCTACATGATTGCTCTATTCTGCAAGGCTTGGGGTGACAGTGGTGTCGGATGCAGGAGGTTTTTACCTTCACGCCCCAGCTCCATCTTTCAGCGTGGTCGTGTCCTTTGTCAAGACACTTCACCCGCACCCGTTGGCTCCCATGCACTGCAGCCTTGCTTCTGTCAGGGAGCCCCAGGGTGGCTCTGGCTACAGTGCAGCTGACCAACATCAGTGTGTGAATGGATGAATGACTGCATGTGGTGTAAAGAGCTTTGGTCAATTCTCCTGATTTGAAAAGGTGCTATTTAAGTGCAGGCCATTTACCATCCAATATTGATACCTGAAATCAATATGTTATTAGTCAAGAAGTAAATATCAGAATAAATCGCCCTGAATTTAAAATATTCAATATAAGAAAGTACTCCGTTTAAAACCACTTCTGCTCAAAGTTTAAGTGAGCCGCTGGTCAATAATACATGGATCAGTTGTTCTCATATTTCTGTTGAAGTTCTGTTTGACTTACTGTATATCACTTGATCAATCTTTTTTTTAACATCCCACAGTATAAGTAATAAAACTGTGTATGATTCCTGCTGATATTGTAATTGATCTATATCTGTTTATGACTGCTTAGTGGAAAAGTTTTGATGCTGGACAGAAAGCTTTTTGACTTTTGAGAAGATCTTAACTCAGTTTTTTGGATTTATTAGTGTTGTAGTCAAGCAGTACTATGACTTCCTAAAAGAATTTACTTTAATAGTTGTTCTGCTTCAGTCATACACTGATGAACACCTATTAGTTCTGACTAACTCTGTGATGTTATTACTGATGCTTTTTTTGCCTCTGCTTTACGTTGCCTGACTGATCCAGACCAGCAGGCCTTCAAAACATAAGCTTTTAAAGAGGAGCCCACACCTGCTTATGATACGTTAATCAAGTGAATTAGATTGGAAACACCTGGCTTCTGCTTAGCGCCTAATTTCTATGGGAGCTGGGAAGATTTAATTTCTTATCCCCACTCTGCTTTTTGGCTTAGTTCTTGCACCGCTGGTCTCATCATGTTTTTATGAATGCAGAGATCTGCTTACAAATTTTTTTAAAGGTTATAAATAGCTAATATCTAAATTAATGCAATCTAAAGAGGAAATGTTTATTTTTTATGAAGCTGTGAAAACAAAGAGGGGTTGATTGTTTGGATTAATTTGAGGCTCTTTAATTGGCATGTATTTATGCTCGGTTGTTGATCCCGCTTTTCCCCGTTTGATTGGCTAAGGGAGATGAACAGCTGTTGAAATGACCCTGTGGTGACTCTCAGTGGAAAATCGGTGACAGTTGTTGCTCTCAGACTGATTGGTGTGCGAGTGTGTTTCTCACTTTGTGTGGAAATACCTCAAAAGATGGTGCTCTGTGTCAGACTCCTCCTCAGAGTCTTTACTATCATTTCACACAATCATCAGGGAGCTTTTTTGAAATCTTATAGAAAAAATGTGAATAACTATTTTATGTATTAATTCACATATAAATAATATACATGTAAGTTGAGAAAATGAGCTTTTCTATGAGGCGTCTGCTGCCGGGGTTAATTGAAAGCACAGTGTTTCTATTGATTATATAAAAGCAAATATAAATAAAGCGATGTAGAGCTTTTTGCTGAGTGAAATTGAAAGCCCTTTCATGTCTAACTCCCACAATGAGGCTGCACTTCCAATAGGTTGAGCTTATTCCAGCTGGCAAACATAAACACAGACTGAGTTGTGTTTTGGGGTGTATTCTGAGGGTTTTACTCGTGCATAGGCATGCACTGTAATTGCTCTGCATTATGAGTACAGTTTTAGATGGCATGAAGCCATTTAGTATCTGACCATTGCCAACACACAGTTGCTGGTGGCTCCAATCTCTCCTGGCTCTGACATGCGAGATAATAGAATCTCTTGATTAGAATACTCATTATGTGAAATGAGGTTTTTTTACTCGGTCACTTGTGTTATTATTTTCTGAGTGATAATATCAATAAAAAGACCCCACATCTATCCATCCATTGTTTTTTCCTCCCTCTCTGCATTTCTTTTACTCTTCGCTTCCTCAGCATAATTCCCTTCTGCCTCTGTATCACAATCTCTATTTCCCACTACCTTCTGCATATCCCTCTTGGTCCTTGTAATTTCCTCCTTAATCTTATTATCTGTCTTTCTTTTTTCCTTTCTTTCTCTGAACTCCCATAATTCCCCTCACCCCCTTCATTTAGCCCTCTCTGTTTTACAGTGTCATACGCCAGCAATGAGAGAAATTAAATTCCTACTGCTCCCTCTGCAGCTCGGTCAGGTTTTATTGGATACTGATCCCACTGATATCTCAGACCTTAAGACCAGCACAGACTTTTCTTGTGATATTTTAGTTTTTCTCATATTGTTTATGTCTAAAAATATTATTACTATTTCTGATTTTGCGTATTCTCTATAAAATGAGGATTTCTTCATCCGTTCTTCCACCCGTCTAATCGTTTATTTTTATCTTTCTATTTCTTCATCATTTTAACTCTTTGTCCATTCCGGTTTAAATATCACTCCTTATTTCATCATTTTTTCTATTTCTTCTATTCTGTGCGTTTATATGTTTAACTGGGAAAAAATACTTTGCAAAAAATGTTACTATTAAGTTAGTCATTTTTTCTTAAAATAAGTGCACTTTATCTTGAATTGATTAGGTAAGTGAGACACTTTGCCAATGGAATAAGACAAAATACATTTAAAATAAGAAAAAACAATTGCAGTCTCTTATTTCAAGTGCATATTATCTAATTATCTTATTTTAAGGTTAAAAATACTAATTTCATCTGCAAATGGTCTTATTTTCCTACTCAAATTAAGGGAAAATACACTTATTTTAAGAAATTTTTTACTAATTTTCAGACAGTTTTTGCAGTGTATGAATTTTGACAAACTGAAATTTGTAATAAACTTAATTTACAGATATTTGAAAAAAAAAAAATCAAAAAATATGAGACATCAGAATAGATCAAAATGAATATTGTCATTGAATAGAATAGCATTCCTGTCCATTACAAATATCACCAGCTTTGATTACAGAAAAGAGATTTAACTCATTTCATCGTCTACATTGCCCCCATTTATAAAATCGTTATTTGTATCCCTGTATCACTCTTGCTTCTCATTGCAGTTCCTGCATTTGACATCCACAAAAACCTTTTGATAGGTGTTATTTTCTCTCCTCCTTTCACGTGGAGAGGAGCAGAAACCAGCTTGACCTTTACACATGACATACTAGCAGATGCTTGCCGGAGCTGACAGTAACACAGGCTGCGCCTAGTTACACGGCCTCGGCAGAGAAGCGCCTTTCATCAATGTGCGACTGCGGCCCGTCGGTTTAGAGAGCAGAGAGGCTAAACAAGCTTTTGAAAGTCCGGATTCGTGTAGCAGCTCTAAACCTTGTTTTTGAAACGCCTGGGATACCTCTGCAGCTTGTTTCCTTTAAGTGTGGAAGTATTGATTCAAAGCATAAAAACTGCAGGGTAATCAGAGGTATTGATGTTGGAAGGTGTGCTTTAAAGCCACTTCGCAATTTTTCAAACTGGTCTCTGTTGAATTCGGGAGTATGTCTATTGATTATCTACGGGAACTGTGAATGTATTTCTCTAAGCATGCAGCACCATGCTTCTGGAAAAGCTGGTTCCCATATTTC